TGGAGGACCGCACATTTCCACGTTCATTTCACTCTTGATACATCTGAACGTGAGCGTGGATTAGTGCATTCGCCAAGTTTTTGTGCGTACGCACCCTTTGTACATGAGGCCCCAGGTCTCTCAACGCAGTTGATGAAAGTTTCTCGACGAGAAAACTGGGCAAAGGAGAGCCTGCCTGCCCTGACGGAACGTTTGCAGCAGGATACACGATGGACTCCTCGCAGGAGTGGAGGGTCGTGTGCCTCTCTGTACTTTCCATGGAGGACGTTGAAGACGTCTACATAATTGGGATCATGATAACAGGCTTCCTGCTGTTTGGAGCTTATGGGTTCCTGCTTTATCGCGAAGTTCGGAAGGCGATGGCAGCACTTTCGGCAATTGAGAAGTTGCCCGTCACTGAGGGAATGGTTCGGGCTGCCGACACTCAGACTTAGGCGATATTTGTAAGATGGGCACCAACTTGGAGCAGCTGGACAGACCGATCCGGATGTAATGGGCCGTCAGTTTCGGCTTTTTGGATCACAGAAAGAACCAGTAGGACTTTAAGTCTGAAGGTAAATTGCAGAGTCGGCCTGACCCAAAACAATCTTCTTTATCTTCATTCGGCTCCCCCACTTCGGCCTTGGAAGGCTGATACCTCTACACTTCTCCTGGATGTTATGCAGACAGATGCTCGGCCCCTCACCACCCCCCTCCTTCTCCTGTGAACTTTGTCTCTGGACCAGAACTCTTCGAGGTCGTCTCCACGGCAACGGCCGTGTCTCATCACCAGCATCAGACAGCAGAGACAATGTTGAGTCTGGGCGGCGATGAAGTCCATGGACTCACACATACATGAAGACACACAACACTCATCCCCTGGATTCAACTCCTGGTTGGCTCCCCAAACCCTCTCCCTCCCTTGTTACAGGTCAGGATGCTGCAGGCTGATGCGACGCTCCCCCCAGTGTCTGAGCTGTGACACCTCCCCTCTCCAACACCCTCCCCCCTCCCACATGTGCAAGTCTTGAGTTTTGTGTTGTGATGTTTTATTATGTTGCTTATTTGCTGAGGTTTTTTCTTCTTAATCCCACACTGTGCCCCTCTAGAGGAGCCTAGTTTGGGAATTGCCTATTTTTTCCTCGTTTTTCCTCTTGTTTTCCTTTTCCTATCTAATGATGAGGGGCGCTGCTCATGCTGGCTGGCCTGACAGTTCTCCCTCCTGTCTTCCCCTGTTGTTGGTCATTGTCTTTTTATGTTTCTTGGACGGGATGCAACTGTAAACACAATTTCCCTGAGGTACCCTACCAAAGGGATCAATAAAGTTTTATCTTATCTTATCTCTCTGTAACTCTTAATCAGACTTCTGCACCTGTTGACATGGATTTTGATTTTGGCCCACTGCTCATCAGCAAAGTGCTCGAATTTGTCCGGGACAGCTTCGTTTTTTGAAATTATTCTTTTCAACCACAATTCAAAAGCAATGTCTTATTTCACAACATTATAATTTAGAAATGTTTTATTTATTATTACTTTTTTCCTTTTCTAGTTACTTGAGTGACTGTTGTGACTTTAGCCTTTTCTTTTATGGAAGGGTCTGAATACATTTGAGGACGACTGTAAAGCCTTACCAGTAAAGACGTAAAGTCCGGTCTCATCTGGAGTCAGCCATGGCCTTAAGCTGACCGTGTAGGTGTGTGGAACCAGGTTCTTCGGCAGCCGATACTGGTCCCAAGGATCATTGGATGGGGTAGGTGTCGGGCCGGGCGGTTTAGCTGTCGTGACGGGCGGTTTGGTTGTAGTGTGGGGCTGGCCGTTTTTTGCCTTTTCCTGCGAATAAACAACAGATAGAGCTATGATAGTGGCCACAGCGCCCACGCCTGCAACGATGCCCACTATCCCAACA